ATCGATTTTTCAAACGTGCCTGTGGTTTATCATTGCCCCTACAGCAAGTTGTGTTGTGGTGGTACGATAACCGATTTTCCTTTATGGTATCGAAAAAATGCAAAAATAGCAGGTTCGGGAAGAGAGCATTATAAATCCAATGAAAAGTGCATACACGGATTACTGAAATTATGTGGTGTCAAAGATACCGCTTTTTTCCTGTTTGGAACTTTTGCAAACTTATCGGAAAATTCTTAATTAACAATGATATTTTATATTGAATGTATTTTAATATTGACATTTCAAGATTGACATATCTTATCATATCTTATAGTGATGTTTGTTTGGAAGAATGTTATTTTGCATAGTAGAACTATAAGGTAAAGTGATGCAGTCATATGTAATATAATTTTTTCAAAATTTTTTCCTTAGGCAACATCTCATTGTCAAAATCTATGTTTATAAAATCGAAGAGGTGAACTGTTTTCTAGGCATTGATATTTGACAAGTTAAATTATAGAAAATGCCGAGTTGGGTATGCTTATTTGAAATGAGGTACCTTCATTTCATTGTACAATGTTAATTGGAAGAATTCTTAATAATTTTTATTTTCATGTGATTTTATTTGGTTGGTTTGAAGATGTGACCTTGCGTATCTGGATAATACGGATGTTCGAAACATTTTACTATGATGGGGAAGGTGTATTAGATACATACATAATTTGGTCTGTTCAAGAACTGCAAGAATGTAAACATTTTACTACGATAACAGATTTTTCCTTTATAATATCGAAGAAAATTCCAAAATTAGTAATATTGTAGATACTGGATAGAGCAAATATCACTGAAAAAAGCCACCTGTAATACGAGACGAGTGAATTTATGTAATTGTTATCACAAAAACAAAGTCATTCGTGTGAAGTCTAGGCAATTGTTAAATTATTAATCTGGTTGATCATTTTTTCTTTGTTTCTTCTCTTTTGTAAAATAACGAATTTCGATTCGTTTTGTGTGCAATGTGTTCCAGTTCAAATACAAAACAAATTGAACAAATTCAAGTGATGTTTTAATATGTGGCCATACAGCTTCATTATTCTTATATACCATTCACATAGTGTTTACACTTACAATGTGGCAACATTAATTTAACACCAGCTGGTTGTTGACAATAGAAAAACAGCGTCGTCCTCGTCCTCTATGGCGAAAATTTCGGAAATATTTTAGCATTTTTCACTGGAAAGTGTATTAATTTGTATGTGAAGAGTGTTGGCACATAATGTTGCTATTGGTGATAAAATCTTGCAAGACAAATGCGTCAGTCAGCATCCAAAAAGAATCAAGTGGCACAAGCCAGGCATCGCCTGAAGAGCCCGATGACAACAATAGTAGGCAAAATTTAAGTGGTTCCAGTACAAGTTCAAATAAAAGCAGGAAAAGGTTTGTGAAAAAATTTTTTTTTATCAAACAGACTACAGAATTCCTCTTAATTTCGAGGTCTTTTTCGCTAACAATATAGGAGAATTGACTTGTAGTCTTAAGCAGCAACAAATGTGTAGGGAATGTAATTACCCCCTTAAAGGCAACTCTATTGTGATTTATTTGCGTGTAATCTTCAATAGTTTAAAAATAACAAGATTTTTTAAATAAACTTAAATTTATTACATATTATACTTTGCAGAAAACGTTGTGAATTCTTACATTCAGTGATTTTGAATCAGAATTTGAAGACTGTGATTTGGATGGAGGATCAGTTGCTTTGGAAACAAGGCTACGTAAAGTGGCGCGTAAAAATGCATTGTCTCATGAAGAAATGATGAAACTCCTACACGTAAGTTTTCATTTATGTACGTGCGCAAGATTGCTTTGATTGATTTTGTTCTTAATTTAGAAATTCGTTAAAAATGAACACATCCTTGCACTCATAACCTTGAAGGCTGAAGATGAGCTGGCTCGTGAGAAACTTAAGGCTGAAGATAGAGCCATTATTATAACAGATACTCCATCCATTCCAAATTAACCCGTTCGAAAGCAAAGGAACTCAAGAAGCAGCCGATTATTTCATTGCCAAAAATCCTGAGTGCAGAGCAAACAGAATAGCATCACTGATTAATGAAGAGCTGAACTCGGACGAAGAAGATGAAGAATATACATTCAAAGAAAAGATTTCGTGGTAAGATTCTTTCTGATATTCGCATTATTTCAGTAATTTATCTTTGTCATTTACAGTCAGATGATGATCCAACACAACTGCTTCCGATTTGGACTCCAATCCGCGAACTCCTCAAACTCCAGCCGTTCAAACCGAACCGGATGATTCACCTGTAAAACTTACTGAGGATGGCTGTTTCAAGGTACCGCTTAATAAAAGGGTCCCCAAGAAGAGCTCAGAATCGCAACTCGAACGCGATCGAAATTGTGTCTGCAACAAACCACCATAGAAGATATTGAGTCTGAATTTGTTCCACCCGATGTTGACTACACTGAGCCGGCAGAACCAGATTCTCAGGTGGTCGATGAAGATTGGAATCAATTTTTAACCGATTTCTTAAAGCCACTGAGTATGTTTTCATATTGATCTTAAAAATAAGTCACACAAAGTAATAATGTAAACTGTTTCAGATTCTAGTTTAGTAGGAGATGATGACGATCCCATTAATGACCCCGAATATGTTGCAGCTGAAAAAGAACTTGGGTATGTACATTAAAGATTTGCCTGATAGTTTAAACAAAGTTTTTTACGTATTAACTTATGATAGAAATGGCAACTGCCCTCCCATAAAGGTGAGTTTGTGGGTCCTGTAATCCTTTTCTTTTCGTCCTACCGAAAAATTATTTTAACATAACATCACCGATTGAGTAAAACATTTTGGGTCTTTATCAATTGTATAATATGAAGCAAGATTACGTTGTGAGCTATGGCAACACTGTCATATCTAATGTCTTTGTTTTCTATCGGCATTCACAATATACAACTGCATAAGCCAGGAACAAGTAATTGATAAATTGAAAAGTAATTATACTAATTACAAAGTGCAATACTATTACATATGCTAAATATGCTGTTGTGATTTGTGAAAACCCCTAGACTCCTCCGAAGTGCTTAATGAATTGTGTGTAAAATGAGTGATACTTGTTCGTTTTCCATAAATATGAGTGCGAGGACAGCAGTTTGTAAGTACTGGAATATACATTTATATCCAATCATTGATAAACTTTCCATATTTTAGCAGTGGCAGCAGTACGAGCAACTTCATACAGGACAAAGAGCAATTCGATGCGAATCACTCAGATTCATTGACCCAAATTAAAACCACTGACGGAAAAAGAAACTTCAATCTATTTAAGTACCGGCAACAAACTATTATTTACTAGTGGAAATATTTTAACATTGATCATACGGTAGTATATAGCAACAAATTGTAGCGAAATCGTTATCAATTCACAATTCATTTTTTTTTTTTGCAGATAGCTTACACTGAATACCAGAAGAATGCACAGGTATTGTTGGCATTTGTCACCACATGTGTGGTAAAATTAAAGGATCGCTGAAAGTCAGTTCAAATTTCATTTGCCATTGAAAACCAAACATCCAGATATTTATCAAGACTTCATCAGGCGAAAGAATGATTATACTGCGACTTCTATTAAACTAAGCAAGAAAAATCACAACAACCGTACCACTTTATGCCCGTCAATTACTGACACACAAAATGCTGAAAACAGCAACAGTTTCACCACAAAATTCTTCAGTTCCTGATAACCACGAATCTATCATTTGACACAGTGCAGAGACCGGCATTTTTGGAGTTGTTTTCCTATGCTGATATCGCAATAGAAATACATCCATCCAATTATTACGAAAAACTAGTCAAGGATACATGCGATTACAAACGAATGGAGTTGTTTCAAATATTTAATGCCAGCACATTATATTTTTGCTGTACCCTTGATGTATGGAATTACAACGGATTCTATTACATTGCGATATCTGCTCACTGGGTTGATGATGAATTACGGAGGCAATCTGCATTGTTAGCATGTAAAAAGTGTGTGGAAAATTTGGCATGTCTGGAGAATTTGTATCATTTGTATAGTGCAGCTATGACACAATATGGTATTGCTCCTACACAAATTGTTGCCTGCACAACGTTAAACATGCAAAACTATTTTGATGATTTTGGCGAATTGAATTTGGGAAAAGATGTATTTCAGAACACGTGCAATCCACAACTGAATGATGTTGCCGAAAAACTGACATTTTTATCAAATCCGGATGCGTTTCACGTTAATGCATTTATGTTAGATATAATAAAACTAAACAAAATATGGGGTGGCAACTTCTTTAGGAAGCTTAACAGTTGTGGAAAGTCCCTTCACAGTAGTTCAATGGAAAAGTAAGTACATCCTATTCTTCCGCGCTGGCCACAATTTAACACCAATTTTTAAATCATTCCTATTTCAGGTGCTGCAATATTTGGCGCATATATATGTCAAAAGAACAAACAGATGTTGTAATGTCCTTCCTTGGTGAACCCTTGGTAAAGCCATGTCTCTACTCCGTGACATCTCTATATGCAGCCATAAAACAATTGTTGAACAGCAAAGAACAACTCAAAGACATCTCTAAATGCTTAAATGTTCCTTGTTTATCAAATCAAGAAATTGACTATCTACAAGAATTCTTGCTTGTGTATGAGCCAATGGCTATGGCATTTGAATTTTTAGATATGACACAAAACCACTATTACGGCTGTTTCTTACCTACACTGGTAACGATAAAATGGAAATTAATAAGACTTTATAACTCGAAAAAGCTGTGTCATTTGCAAGATGCATTGCAACAGCTAAGGGAGGACCTACAAATGGATTTTAAAGATTATTATAACTTGGATGGAAGCAAATCCGATTCAATTATGGCTGCACTCACATACCCGCCAGTTAAAACTCGTTTCCTTTCAGGACTTAAAGACAACATATATTGTCTAAGTTTTCATCCACGAAACATGTTGCTCAAATATGGCAAGGAATATCATAAAAGAGATGACAACTTTCATAATCAGTATACATCACTTGTGAATATATCATCAGCGGAATGTGAGGTTACTGAATTTTTTGATTTTGGTGATTCAACTGATTCTGGTTTGTATCATATTTTCAAAAATAAAACTTTAACTTTAAACATTTACTTTTTAGCTGCCGAAAATGGAAACCTTCCACAATCATTGAAAATGGAAATTGATTCATATTTAGCAGATCCTGATGGTAGTTTAAAATCGTTACAAAAATATCCGACTGTAAGACGAATGTTCTATCGTTATAACACCTGTATACCATCACCATCGTCGGTTTCACGTATATTTCCCGTGACAGAATTGTTGCGAACCAGTTTAAGCTCTCCTTGGGAAGAGGAACAATTTGAAAATAATTTCTTCTACAGCCACTATTACGTCAACAAGAATCGCATGTAATTCCATATTATTGTAGGTATTTATGAAATAAATAACTCTAACAAAGCAACCAACCTTCTGATGAGGCATGATTTTTTTCTGAACCAGTATAATAGATGTTTTTAGCACAAATTATTGCTGATTTTAACTTTATTTAATATTTAATAAAAAACTGACTGTAATCAAAACTCATTCATATTATCACTTATAGTTGACGCTGAAGAGCTGAGAGATGTGAACATCTCGAAAAAAGAAATTGCGGAGTTAATGACTGAACTTTTAAGTAACTTAAATGAAGGCATACCATTTGATAGTATTGAGTTGGAGACCCCTCGTAAATTCATATTGAATTATCAAGAGGAACAACAAAATACAACACCAAACACATCGCCGGAAAAAATAAGCGAAAATGCGGAATGTGTAAGCCGACAATTACAATTTGAAGAGCAGGCATCAATTCAGGAGCCGCCACAGCAGCCACAAGAATCTATGCCGGAGTCATGTTCTATAATATCATCAAATAATGTTACACAACAAAATATGTCCTTCCATCCGGACGTTATGTCCACTCCTTCGACTACGCACAATGGGCAGAATATCGTAGAACAATCTCAAGAAAACGATGAAACCTTGGCAATGATTCCAGTGGCAACACCTAAAAAGAATGCCGACAACTCCCCTTCAAATACAGTATCCATTCCCGCCAACAACATAAGTACCCAAGTTGATGTAATTGCCGTACCTATACCTGGTCAACCAAATTGTTTTCAACTAGCAAGGGTTGTCAATTCGACAGATGAATTGATGGAGAGTGGAACAAAAGTAATTACCGGTTCGAAGTTTCTAAAGGAGAAATCGAAGGGAACTGCTGCGCGATATGATGTGCCATATGAAACAAATTACTCCGGAGAATACATCTCAATAAAGCGGCATGCCATTGCCGAGTACATAGATAAGTTTGAAAGCCTTAAACACGCGCAGGTCAATCAAATTTCAAGTACTACAACTGAATCTGAAACACCGTCAGATAAAGAATTCACAAAATATCAATATGATTTAATGCAACAACAAATGCGAATACACGTACAAATGCTAACGCAAACCTATATACAAGTGTATTGTCATCCCGAGCTGTGGAAGCTAGCATCGAAACCTAAAGAGATGCTTTTAGAGTTGCAGCAAAAGTCCCAAGATAATGCCAATTTCAAAATTTGGAATTTGGAAAAGGCAATAAATCTTATAAATAAATGGTCGCATGACTTGGATCAGGATACTGAAGAGAATAGAGCACTGATGCAGTTTCTTCACCGTGAAGTGGAATTGACGTAAGTTTTTACAGAATTTTAGATTTAATACCAACCATTTCTCAACAAGTTCTTTTTCCGTTGTCTCCTTTTAGAAATCACAATACTCGGCAGATTCCAAGATTCCATCCCCGTCTCTTGGATTGTTTTTTGGAATCTGATGTTTTCATTTACCCCGAATATCTGCCACGAATGCCGTTTACACCCAAGGTATTAACCATAGAACACTTCTCGCCGGTGGAATGCTACTTAATAGCCATGGGTCTGGAGAAACACGTAAATCTCATACGCCAAAGAAAAGAACGTATTTTTAAGAAATCTTCGGCTGAACGATTGGCATGCAAACGATTCACCAAAGATTTGTTACCAGGAAAAATCATCGGCGTGTTTGGGACCACATTGTTCAAATGAGAAATGCTGAGTATTACAATCCCATCAAGGTAATTGGTTCAGTACACTGTTTTTGAATCGTGAGTAAATAAGGGTATCTTCCTTAGTATTACTTTGAACACCAGAGGGCACCACCTGTAGAGTATACACCTATAATTGGCTTTGAAAACAATACCGTGCCCTTGCCCAAAGATCGGTTTTCTGAATTGCCACTAGTATTTCAACAATATTTGCAAAAGGTAAGAAGCTTTAATGTCATTTCTTTTTATATTGTAACAAAAAGTAGCATTAACACAATAGGTAGTTGTTTCTGAAATGAATGAAATATTTAGTTGTCTATTACTTTAAACTATTACTTAACCCTAATAATGGCCGACACGATCTCTGGGAATGAGACGTAACTCTGAGCCATGTTTTAAAAAGACATTTCCAGCCGTTTGTTGAGGGCTAATACCAATACCATCGTCAGTAATAATTGCACTGGTGGCAGCAGGAACTTTGAATTCCTCAGCGGCGAATTTCAGGACCGCTGTGAAGGGTGTAGCTTCGGGTACACTCAAAACTTTAAATGGCAATTTGGGATCCGAAGTTAAAGTAATCTTAAAAGTAACCTTGGACATGTTGGCTATTTGTGTCTGCTTGGCAGATTAACTATTCAATGACAGTACCTAAAATGTTAGTGACGTGGTCAGTAGAAAGTTTGTTGGTTTATAGATTATAGAAATTGTACTTACTATATATGCAGTTTTCAAAGGAACGCCACTAACTTATCTACTTAGTCGACTTTTTTCTTGCTAAAAGAAAACTGTTTTCCAATAAATGCAATACTTTTTTATTAGAAACGAACAAATGACTTGTTCAATATGTGCTTCGCCTCCAGTGTAATGTGTTTTAGCTTGACGTTACTGTGAATGAACATTTGATGTAGATGAGTTATCAATTCATCGTGCATTGTTGTGTTGTCATTCATGTACATTCCTTTTATAAATTCACAATAAACTATCGATAACTGGATTGATTGTTATTGTTTGTTTTTTTTTTTGTTAATGCCAGAAAAACGCTCCTCCTGCGCCTCCGAAACCAAAAAGGAAACCCAAAAATCCAAACGTGACGGTGTCAGATAAATTCAGAAATTCATTTTTTGAATTTGTACGAGAAGCCGTAGGTGAGGACATTCTTACTGAGGAAGAGAATATTGATGAGACACCAGTTCAGACACATCCATGTGAATCGCAGACATTGTCGGAAAACAATACTCCAACTACACGAAAAAGGAATTTACCAAGCAACGACGCACCCAAAGCAAAAAGAAGAAGGCTTCCCCGTTCATTGACCATTAATGTAAACTATGTTTTTGGCAGTCCTCCAGCTACGAACCTGCCCTCAATACTTCCAAATACTTCAAGTGTTGCTGGTCTAAATAATACCACATTACTATCGTCCGCCAACAATACTAGCACAGGAAGTCTCTTGGACGCGACGTCGACAAATACAAACGTTGATCATATAAACCGAAGTTGTAATGCCAATAGCTCAACCTTGGATGTACCAGTTGTGACGTACAATTTTGATGTGACTACAAAAACACTTCAGCCGCAGTATGGTCAGATTTCAACAACATTTAGTCATCAGTCGGCTGATATAAATACTGCATCAATCGATACCGTAACGATCTCTTCCGATGATTCCATGCAAGGAATAAATCATGCAGCGGACACGACTGCATTAACTCAAGCCGCTGAAGATAACTCTCAAATACCAGCACCGGAAAATTCATCGACTGGCACAGGTCATGCTGAGCCAACACAATCTCCCACAACTACAATAGATAGAAGTCCTGAGGCAAACAACTCCACAGTTACAACATCCGGAGATCCAGCACAGTCTGCTACAAGTACAACACCAATAAACCCCACCACTGCCAAAAGTCCCCAGGGGTCCAAACGGGATACAACTTCAAATTCAGAAAGAGATAGGTGTTCGGACGCTTCACAATTAATTACATCTGTAACTACCCTTTCCAACGTAAAATCTATTAACACGACAAATAGACAACCTCAGCAGATAGACTTAGGAATAGTTTCGAAAAATTCCCAACCAAATGCAACATTCAGTGATGGCAACAAAGAAAATTTAAATACCACACTAAAAACAAAGCAGCAGTGTGGCAAATACCGGCGTAGAACTGTTATTCTATCACACATCACAAAGTTGAATAGGAGTATAACCCGAAAATCAATAGCCTATCGAGAAAAACGATCTATTAAACAACGTTGCGAAGATTTAATAACCGCCTACGGATTACATTTGGAGACGCTGCAGGTACGCCACAAACACTCACCAATTGTACAACATTTCTATCGAAGGTTTAAGGCTTTGGAATTGTACACAAACCTGCTAAAGGGCTTGAAAATGATTTGCAACAAGAGTGCCAGTAACAACAATGGAGGAAACTCCAGTCCCAGTGGCTTAAAACGTTCCCGCAATTCAAATGCCGAAGATGAGAGCAGTCCATCAACTCAAAGAATGGCTAGAAAAATTAATCGGCAGGAGGAGAACTTCAGACACATGTTACTGCCTGATACTCCAGAGGAAGCTAATCGTAAAGATGCAAGTAAGAGAATGAACAACAATTTCTCTGATTTCTCCTTAACTTAATTCATTTTTCTTTGCAGTTTATGCATTTAATTTTTATGAGAAAGTGGAGGAAGCATTCAGGGCATCCAACAGGGCAGATGATTGCAAAAAGTTTAACACTATTTTAAAAACATTTGATCCCAAAAAGGACAAAGTATCGGACTTATATTATGTAAGTATGTTCTAGGTTCTATTTGATTTACCTCTAATCGTTTTGCTTTGTGTAGAAATTGGAAAAACTGTTTTTGCCAGACCATCCAGAATTGGCACAAGTATTCCTGACATTTCTCTTGCCGTCCGAGGCGGCAGAAATTGGAAAATTTTTTGAACACTTTATGATAACTAATATGACAACATTCATCAACAAATTGAACATCTACTTCAACAAACAACCTGCCCAAATTCGCAAAATATACAATTGCCTCAATGAATTAGCTGATGATCCGGACGTGACTATGAAGAAGATTGAGTCGAAAATCATACCCCTCCTAAAGGGTAATCAATTCCTAATAGACTGGTTTATGCAACAGTTTCCCAAAAGCACTCCTCCCGAGAGGTAAGTTTATAAATTTTATTTTCGGAGACACAATTTCATTGAAAACTATTTTTAGATTATTTTCGACACCGGAGCATATATTGAATGTTAAAGAACAGCAATCGAATCGTCCAGGTGAACATGTAGAGACAATTACGGACATGGATTCAAGCGTAAATGATACTCAAAACCAGGCGCCCACTTGTCAGTTAAGGGTATGTATGTCAAAATAAATAAACAATATTTTCTATTGACAATTTGTAACTCATATTTTGCAGTACATTAATGGACGTATTTTTTATGGATCTAAGATGTTACTGCCCGCCAAATTGTCCTTTATGGCTGTGTCATACAAAGACAATCGAACGTCTACACCACCTGCACAACCCTCTCAGACTCAGATTACTGGGTGTGTCCACGCTATTAAGGACCACGGCGAAAAAACGTTTGCAATCTACATCGGAGCTGGCAAACGTTGCAGCCAACACTGAGTCTACCGATGAACAGGACAAATCTGAAGAGGAAGATGTATCGAAGGTTCTTGTAATCGATACTACAGCCGAAGAAGATGATAGTTGTTCATCGTTTGAACCTTGTGATGAGAATACTCTGAAAGCACATGCTTTGCGACTGAATCCGTCATATTATGGCTCCACTTGTTATTCGGCAAGTGCAACGAGTACACCCAATTTAAATAGTAATTTCCAAGGTCATCATCCCAACGCTAAAAAGGTATCATTGAATTTCAATGAGGAAGCTTCCACTGCGGGCAATACACCAGCCACCGGAAAAACATCGCCTCGCAAAAATCAAGGACATCAATCATTAAATTCACCTTCGTCCACTGCAACCTCTTGTCAGTCACATGCAAATGTCCGTGAAAAACGAAAATCTCCGAGTAAGAAAACAAAATCTCCGCTGATACAAGGCACCGGCAGAGCAGTTCGGTCGTTCGGCAACCAACCCATGGTTGTCATACATGAAAATAATTCAGCCATACAGTGTGCAAAACGTTTAAAATCCATGGTTGAAACGCCATCGGATGAGCAAAACTTGAATGAAGACACCGTTGTTGATACCAAGGAACACATAAATATTGTGGCCAGAACCAAAACTAGTATGAAAAGTTCGTCTTCGGTGGCGAACAGCGGTGCTGTAACTTCCACCACCACTACGCCTTCCTCAACGTTCATCCCAAATGCCAATACCAATGTCAAACAAGAACATTCGGACGATTTAGAATTTCTACCAGAACACGCCTCAATCACACGAAGTCCTTTCCCAACACTTAAAATGGACACCGATTCCAATGAAGAAGATGCAGCTCCAGCCAGAAATGCCTCAGCATCCAACATTTGTAGCGATGAAGACTGTAAAATTGATATTGTTGCGAATTTGGTTACGGAACCCACTGAAGACACAAACGAAATTCCCCGTCCAGTGCCACTACCATTAAATGCAGCTTGGACTAGAGATGAGGATAAAGTAATTTTAATTGAAATGAAGTTGGGCTCAACAAATCGGGAAGAACTATACCGACGTATTGCAACAAAGCTGCCAAGACGGACTTTATTCGAAATAACGGCCAGACATCAATTCCTTGTGGATTTTCTGGCAAAGCTACAAGGCAAATAGATTTTATGTTATATGTTTTATTTAAGTTAGCTTTAGTTTACTACAGCTGTATATAGTTATTGTTAAAATGTTTTTAATTTTAATAAATTACAAGACATTGAAGTGTTTTTCCCCAAAAAGGAAAGTGTTCTCAGAGAGGCAAAGAAGGGAATGATAGACTTTATCTTATCTGATGAGAATCGGTCAATAATGGAAGTCATTGTATATTTTATTGAAATGTATTTTTTTTTTAATTTTCCTTACACTCTAAAAACTTTGGTTCTTATTTCAAATATGAGTATTACTTATACATTTTTATTGGAATTGGCATTTAATTTTACGGATGAAATGCTCATTATTTCATCATCTCCCACCTCATTGATTTCATCGTCTTCATCCTCAGCATCGTCGTTGACAATGTCATCTAAATTTGGGGTCTTAATACGATTTCGTATAATTATATCACGTTCGGCTGGTGTTTGCAAATGCAATGGGTTGGTAACAATTTCACAACCATCCATATCACGTCCTTGCAGACCAAGTGTCAGATTGACTTTGGATTGATGGCCACTAGTTATTTCGCCGGTACCGGATGATAACTGTCCTCCACTTACTGTACGTGCAGCGTTGGCCGGTGGTGGCTTCAAGCGCGATGGGTCAAGCAGAGAAGGCATTTTTGTAGATTTTTTGGGTGTACGGGCAGGAGAACTTTTCCGTGAGTTATTAAATGATTTTAATTGTTTCGCCCTATAGAAATGATAAATAGTCTTAATGAGTCCTTGTGGGAAATTTGAAGATACTTACGCTTCTATTAGTTTCAGCAAAAGCCGGTAATATGCTTCATACTCTTCACTGCCGAATTCATTGGGATCGTGGCGGGCATGTTCATACATATCACAAAATTGGTGTATCATTCTTTGTCCGGTGCCATTGAGACATGAAGACAGAGTCGTAAGTAAGAAAGCCCTTAAGTTTTCGTGGGCATGACGAACGGCACCATCACTTTTGGCGATTTCTCGTTCTGTTTGGAAAAAAGAGAATTATGAATAAAGAACGATAAACAAACTAGACAGTTTACCTAATATTTTGATATCATCTACCGCCTGCATGCGATAGTAATATGGTGGCAAAGGTTTATCCTTCTGCAGTATGTACTTATCGTCATTCCACAGTAACTTCGGTTCGACTTGTATCTTCTGTATGCAATCCAAACGTCGTTCAATTTCCTTTCTGAGGGCCTAAAACACACAAATCTCACTTTAGCTGGATACCAAATCAAGAATTTGAACGTTTGCATTACCTTTTTAGCATCGTTACCAACTGGGACATGAGGACCACGACGGCTTCTCAGTGTAAAACGCATTATTTGTCTTTTGGCGAAGATGAACAACATTACAAATGTCAGAACACCACCGCCTATGATAATAATTATCATAACACCCGATAATTGCTCCATGTTTGGTTTTGTAAATTGATACTTTTTCTGAATTAAACTGGATTGCAGAAGTTTTTTATGCTAAGACCGTGTAGTGGTCTCAATCTGTTCAACCTCTTTTAGCTCTTCCAAAAAGAATTGATATGCTTACTTTGTTTGACAATTATTTAAAAGTATTTTCCATTTTCACAAGAGAAAAACAAATATCTTGTTTGACTTTTTGGAAAACCTTTCCCTTTTTCCATGGCCCAACAACATCTGATAAAAAGGAAGTAATTGTGAATGAATGTTCAGTGCAAACAAAAAGTAAACAAAGAGGGTAGAGTAAATTGATAACACAACCAACAGCCTGAAACACCAACAGCTTAAGGCCTATTTAAACTACACTTCATTTTAAAAAGTGGTCCATCTTTTTAAAAGGGTAATGCTTAAAATATTGCGAATAAATTACTGAACGCTTTTTAATTGTCTTTGATCGAAGAAAAAATAATCAGACAGATCTAATGTCAACTAATCAGTTGTGAATGATTTTCCTTGCCAACTCACCATTGTGAATTAACGAGGATTGATTGTAGAGCTCTAGCACGTCATCCTTAGTAAAATGTTTTGATTTCTTCCTGCCAGGCCGAAAAGTTGCCAGAAATAAGAGAATAATGAAACTTAGTACGAACATTAATCAATTATGGAATAAACGACGAACCAATATCGATGAAAACTGGTATACCTATTTGTTTTTTGCGGTCCTGCGTTTCGTCCTGGTTTTCATACAGACGGGCTATGTCCACCCAGATGAGTTTTTCCAGTCAATTGAGGTCATGAATGGTAAAATGGGAATTTGTTATTTATAAAATGTATAAATTAATGGCATAATATTTGCAGGTGATCACTTTCGCATTGAACATGTCCGGACATGGGAATTTAACAATACAATGCCGGTGCGTAGCATTACTTTACCCTTTCTGCTGCTGAGAGTTCCATGGAGTTTCCTTGAGTTTGCAGCCCTTTATTTGAGGGAGTACTTTAGCATAGAAATACTGTGCAGCTATACTTATTTGGTTTTTCCACGTTTGATATACTGCGCCATATCATTTGTCAATGATTGGGCTCTGTATCGGGTGTGCATGCTGTATAGTCTTCGTTTTGAAATACGTCTACTGGCATTGGGCAGTAGCTGGGTAATGCTGGTATTTGGCACCCACACCTTCTCCAACACCATAGAAATGGCATTGTGTTCTGTGCTGTTATATCTGGTGGCCGAATGTATGATCACCACCAACACCATTGTGTACAAGAAGGAAATACTCGACGAGAAATATGACAAGGCAGCCTCAATTGGAGAACGTGTAAAGATATGGAAACTGAAGAATGCTTTGCCAACCCACAATTTCAATAAGATCTTTGCCATGTCAAGTTTATGTGTTATCGGGGTGTTTAATCGCCCCACATTTTTATTGTTTGGAGCACCCATGGTTTTCTATTGGCTTCTACGTGGAATGGGTACCAAAAGTGTAACCTTTACCGACTTCCATTTACGTATGCTGTTGTTTTGTGTAAGTGCCATACCAGCCATGCTGTTCTTTGTTCTTTGCGATTCACTGTACTATAAATATTTGACATCTGGAGAAATTATGACCAAGACCATAAGCATAGATAATTTTGTATTTACACCCTGGAACTTTGTCAAGTATAATTTAGATCCCAAGAAGACATCAGAGCATGGCTTGCATCCAAAGTATATACATTTGCTGGTAAATGTTCCCTTGCTTTATGGCATTTTGGGAGTAATTGCCATGGTTTCCTTTGCCCAATTAATGATACGATTCTTCAAAGCAGAATACCAGGGTTTGCCAAGGGCACAAAGTATTGTAGGTCTAATGTCGGCATCGATTTTTGTACCATTATTCTTTTTGTCGTTGATCAATCATCAGGAGCCTAGATTTCTCATACCCCTAACATTTCCCATAATTTTGTTGCATGGACCCAAACTTGTGACTGGCTTCTGCGCCCACTATCCGTTTCGTGTGGAAAATCCATGGCTGAGATTATGCTATGACAAATTCCTGTGTACGAAATCCTCTGCCATGTATGTCATGAAAATATGGTACTTTGCCAACATTGCTTTAACAGTTTTCTTTGGTTTTATGCACCAGGCGGGCGTCTTTCCCATGGCCCAACACTTTGAACAACAAATGAAACTTAAGGCCCCCGATCAGCATATACATTTAATAACCTCCCATACGTATATGTTTCCAATGTCCCTTGTAAACATTCCCAGTACACAAATGGTGCACTACAATACCCAAACTGGTCAAAGATATAAAAAGCGTAAAGATTTCTACCTCTATGAATACGGTGGCCTGGACATGCCCCAACTAATGTCTCGCATACGGCTCATCATGTCTCATTGTGAGCTGAAAAAAGAAACCAAGAAGCTAAGATATCGTTTATTCTTGGCCATTCCATCGTCACTAAGTGATGATCTCAATTTGGCTTTGGTCCAAAGCAATGCCACTTATATGAACTATGAATTGAGACATGTTTTCTATCCGCATGTATCGACAGAAGCTTTACCACAATTTCTGGGAAGACATCCTGGTATTGTTGATCCACCCCATTGGTCGGATGACGACTTGAAAGGTACCTGTCTATTGGAACAGGAACCCGAGTTAAGTTTTAGCTATGCCAGCAAACAATTATCGTCGTTCATCCATCAATTCGGCTTGGCTTTGTACGAATTTGAATTAAAACGAAATATGCCGAAAAACAAAAAGACCCTGACCAAGACAAAATGTTATACATAACAAGAACGATTGCTATTATAGATTGTTATTTTATTACAGCTAGTCCTTAAATGAACCAAAGATATTCTGTTTTGAATAGTAATACTCGAAATGAATGTTTAGTTTAAATCACTTTCTACATTCCTGCAAATGAACAAATCAACTCTATACTTAAAATTCTTATAATTTTTACATTTGTGTATATATATTTTTAAGAAAGAATAAATGCTTTTTATAATGATGGAATCGATAAGAAATAAAATCGCATTTTAAAGCAATTGATTTTTATTCTCAATACATTTAGGAAATGATTTCAATAAAATGGGCGTTCTTCCCTGAATGGAAAAATTTGGGTGAGCACAAGGGATTCTCACATACCACTGATCCATATCTCTCAAGACCTTACCTTTTGAACCATTAACCAAATGAAAGATATTTTTATATATTTGAAAGATTTTTTTTTAGTTTATTCACGCTTTAAAGTAGTTGTTCTTTTTTCATAGTTTGATTACCTTGTTGTTTTATCTTTAGGCTTTAAATACAAGTAAATTTTATAGGTTTTGTTGTAATTTTAAAGTAGTTTAGGCATTTGTTTTTGAGATTGAAATGAGCATAAATGTTCTATTGTGGCTGATTTAGTTTAGTTTTCATTTATATAAGGATAACATTTTACTTAGGAATTGTGTGGGTTAGGTCTATTATTTTGTTTTTCCACAACTTAATTCTATACATATTTAAAGTTTAAAATTTGGAGTTATTTTTATTTAAATTTTTGTAACGTATATTATTTTGTTAAACTGATTTGATTTTTCAATGCTAATAAAACGCTATTTAATTTAATTAAAATTATTAATGAAAAATATATTTATTTACTAAATGTTATTTCTTCTTCTAACCAGTTACTATAATAAAAAGTGTTAACGATTTTGTTGTTTCTGCTTTCTAGTAATTATAATAATAATAATAATAATTTTAGAGCAAAAATGTTAATGAAAAAACGTTTGGTACCCTTTTCTCTAAAATTTAAATATAATTTGTTTTTGTTTTATTTTTTTATTTAATTAATATATGATGTGTATATATTTCTATGTAAAGTTAAAGAGTTCATAAAGTCTATCAATATGTTAAGGTTTAAAGACTTGTTAGTTTTATTATTAGTTATTTTTTAAACATACCTTTTTTTATTTAGAGAAATATTTAGTTGACTAAATATTTAAATGCTCTTAAATTATATATTGTTTAGGTACTAATGCTCCGAGTTTAATATGCTTTGTTTATTCATATTTATTAAATATTAAATAGTTTATATTAAGTAATATAGCTTTGCTACGTAGTATGAAGAAATATTTATTTTTTTTATATTTGTATAGCGATTTCTTATTCTGTTTTCATAAAGTAATCATAAAATATATATATTTGGTTTGTTTTTAAGTAGCACTAATGAGAGAACATGTATTTTTGGTTATTAGCTAGAAACTGGCAATATCATTTTAAACAACACTGACAGTTTAAACAAATTTTCAATCTGAAAAATATTCAAGATAAAATTTGTTGAAAATGTCATTGTCTATTGACAACCATTTGCTGCCAACCAACTGAGCTGGATGTTTTGCTTTGATATACAATCGTAGATAAAACATCGTTCTTAGCGCTCACGTTTTTCTTATTTTATGGCTTTTGGGAAATTCATTTTCATTAAAATTCTATGCGATTCAAACATGTTTTCTTATATATAATTTATTAATAAATATATTATTTGATACTTAAGAATAATTATGCTAGAAAAGATTTAAATTTGTCTAACCTCTTAAGGTTTGCTGCAAGGAGATTTCCAGTGCTACATTAAATCGAGCAGTAGAAAAGTATTTGAGAATATATAATGTTGTAATTTTTATGAAACAAAACGATACTGGTTACAGCTGCCCTCTTTTAAATTTTCTTTAATCGCATTTACCTCAAGAATAAAACAAAATATGTTTTCAGTTATTACTTTTGCCATCGTATTATTCTGTAAACATTTCTTCGCATTTAATTTCTCATCTTCCGTGTCCATAAATGTAGATGAAGTATTCTTTTCTCGGTATAGTAGAAGTATATGAAATATATCATAAGGATTTTTGTAGCACCGTGGTTTTGTTAAAGGGATATCAAAACATCATAGCATGTATTCTATCATTCAGATTGTCTTAAATTGTAATTAGGATATTTGTTCAAGCTATCGTTCGATAAAAATGTAAATTCCAAGTTCAATTTACCATGGCAAAGCAATTTCTCATGGCAAATCGTTTAGAAACCACAGAAATGTAAAAGAAGAGTTGTATTTTGTTTTACAATTATTAGATGCATATTATTATTATTAATATTAATTTGTTCTTATTTAAATATTTCTATGTTATTTTGGTACTTGAAGACTCCTAGCATTTCTTTGCTGCTATTGTTATGACATTTAAAAAAAGGGGAGAAAAAAACTAATTCAATACATTTATACTATTAATTTTTAAATTTCGTAATTTCATTTTTTTTGTTGGGGGTTGTACGATACCCCCCACTTTTACAGCTCGAATAATGCAGGGGCAAACATTATTAGCGAGCTTTGATTTTTACAATTTTTAATTTGTGATATTTTTTTGTTTTCAAAATAAAAAAAATATGTGTATTTGATTGTAATTCCAAAAAGTTTTTTTAGAAAAGTAAATAAGATTGGAGTTTTAGAAGACGTTTTAGAGAATCAAAATAGTTGTTAAAGCATATGTTATTGTGTGGAGAGTTAAAATATTGGAAGATCCTTTGAAAAATGCAATATTTTTGTAACATTTTTTTAATTGAAAGAAAAAACATTTAATTTTTGTGAATAATAGGAATGCATTGATTTTAAATATATTCTTACAACTAATTTTTATTATTCTTTTTTGATAAAACTGACTCTTGCAACGAAAAAAGAGTCTATAGAGGTAAATTAGAAGTGATTTGAAAATCAGAACTCTGGAGAAAGCTTTTCATATAGTGTTGATGTGACGATTTAAAGGCAAATTTTTAATTGGGGTATGGATATGCAATGTTGATGTCAGGAAATATATGGGAGAGGAAGATAGCAAAATTTGAATGAAAATGGCGTCATAGATGTTTGTTGGAAATTAGAAGGTATTATTCGATATAAAGTACTATTTAATAGAAATATTACAATTTTGGTGTATTATTTTTACAGGATAGTCTGGAAAAATATTTCGAAAGAAATTATCCATGTCTTTATAAAATATTTTCCAAGAAACATATTAAATTTTACTAAAAGTTTAAGCCATTGATTTAAAAATTTTTAGTTTTATCTTTTGGAAATTAACATTCATAGTAATGATTAAACATTTCAAATTACGAAATTGTAATGAAATTTAAAACTTATAGGATATATTTTTGGAAAACTTGTAAGTAAACTTCCCAAAGAGTTCTACAAAGGAAAGTGCACATTTTTCAAAGAAAATGTTGGTGGGAAATACTCAAGACTTGATAAAAAAAACCACTCGAATGCGTTTTGAAGACAACGTTTATGATATTCTATCGTTAAGATTTTTTATTAATATTACTTTTTTTGTTGTAATGACATGGCCAGGAAAAGATGCCTGGCTTCGCTTTAGTGTTTGCTGTTTTATTATTTTGTTTTTCATTTGATTTGGTCTAAAGTAATTGTTTCGCCTTTCCCTTCTTTTTCTTTTTTACTGCAAAGTATCCTCAATTAAAATCTCCTTTTACCAAATACTATCAAATTAAAATTATTCCTTTTTAAATTCGTTAAAGTTTTAAGGTTTTTCTTTTACCATAAACTAATATTGCTTAAGATTGTTGGTTGGTAGTTGATATGTAACTGAAATCTATTTTTTATACCAAATTATTGGAAACATAGCAGAAAAACAAACTCAAACTGAATTGAAAAATACAAAGTACAAACGAAAAATAGAAGAAGAAGAAGAAAACGTAAGGATTTTTGTATTTGTTTTTCAGAAAAAAATTTATTTAAATATTTCTATTCAATAACTTAATTAAATTCAATAATTATTGCTCTGTCTTTTTGTTTCAAGAAAACTTTACACAAATTTACACTACATTGTAGGAAGGAAGAATATAGAGATAGCTGGGGGAGGAGGAGGAGAACTTTTTTTTAAACTAAATATTTAAAAATATAAATATTTCAATAAGTATAAACAATATCATTTTAGGAGTAATCATCATTCACATGCTTGCATTCATCACGTTGTCGTCCTAAACGTGAACAGTCCGTTTTGGAGAGGGGGGTTCCGGATGTGACTGTTGAACCCAGTTAGCCGTTTTCTAGATGCCATTCAGTCAGAAGAATTGTTGTTGTTCTTGGTTTTGTTGCTGTTAACAAGTTGCGCTCACCTTATTCGCTTATATATGATGTCATTGTTGTCACTGCCATTTATGTGGGCACAATGTAATCGGGATTCATGTAAGAGAAGCCCACAAATTCCGTTTGATCCAAGTTCATCATGAAAACTTTGTCTGTGGGCGTTAGATCGGTCTTTTCCGAGGTGAATTGCTTGTCGAAATTCGAAACGTCTTTGCGGTGTTTCTGTGAAAAATCAAAGGGTCAAATGGGGAAGTCTTATTATTTATCAGAGACTTACTATTTTTGGTTTAAATGGTGGCTGCACTTCACGATTCTCAATCTTTTCCCAATCAATGCGCCTGAAGAAGGGATGTAAGCGTACGTCCTCTTCGCCTGTTGGGCCACAGCCCAAACGTTTACTGGGTTGTTTAGTTAGAAACTGCAAAGAGAGAGAGAGAGAGAGTGAAGAATATTTAAAATCGTTTAAAAATAGCCAAAAAGTTTGAATACTTACACCTTTACAGGCCTCCTTAGCCTCTTTGCTTAAACTCTTGGGATATGATACATTATGGTCTGTAATGGCTGCAAATAATTCTTCCTCATCCTCGCCGTCGAAAGGCGGTTGGCCTACTAGCATTTCATACAAAAGGACACCATAGGCCCACCAGTCAACAGATTTTCCATAAGGTTGATAAAGTATGATCTGCAAGAAAAGAAAATGAGATTTGTAAGGAAATTACTTTAAATAATTAACCTAAATATTTAATATTTTTTCAAAATTGCTTGTCAAAGTATCCAATTTCGATTATTAATAGAAATTTAGGATGGAATTTCGAATAAAAAATTGCCCATTTGTTAAATTAAATCCCAAATTTAAATTGAGCGGTAAATAACAATTTTCCTTTGAGGCTTACAAATTTGGGGAATTCGAATTCCAGTTTTTAAATTTCAAATTTATTTTTTTATTGAATTTTGTTCAAAATAACTATCCATTTTATACTAAATCCCATTGTTGTCATCATAATATTCCTTCTAACTCACCTCAGGCGCAATATAATCCGGTGTACCGCAAAATGTTTTTGTTGTCTTATCGCCAATAATATTTTCTTTGCACATACCGAAATCGGCAATTTTCACATGACCATCGGAATCCAATAAAACATTGTCCAACTTAAGATCTCTATACAAAATGCCTTTGGTATGCAAGAAGAATAGGCCAGCGGCAATTTCGGCAGCATAAAAACTAAACACACACACAGAGGCAGACAAATATTAAAATTTTGCTTAGAATAAGGAGAATATCTACTTACACAGCAACAGGCTCTTTAAATTTACCAAATTGTTGTATTTGAAACATTAAATCACCGCCATTGACATACTCCATGACAAAAAACAGGCGATCCATTGTCTGGAAGCAGGAATGTAATTGTACCAAAAATGGTGGTTTCTCTTGCAGGGCCAGGACACGTTTCTCAATCATGGTGCACTCGACATCATCGTCCTGGATGATGACATCCTTTTTGAGTATTTTAATGGCATACAGCTCTTCGGTGCCTTTGCGTTCGGCCAATAGAACCTGAACAAAAATTTGTTATGGGATATTTAATGTAAACGTAAAATGAAAGAAAGAGAGAGGGAGAGAGAGTGTGTGTGTCTCATACCTTGCCAAATGACCCCTTGCCCAGCACTTTAATAAAATTAAAGTCACTGGCTCTTATCATATCTTTGGTCTGACTTTGGCTATTGGTTTCGGAACGCATTACCAAAGGTTTCTTCTGTGATGATTTCTGTAAGTTAAAAAAAAGGAAACCTAATTGGAGAATTATTCTCTTATCCGAAGAGGAAATGTTACTTACTCTCATCTGAGATTTAAGTTTAAGCAAATCTTGTGTGGCATCAGCACATGGCACATTGTAATATTCCCCCTCTTCCTGGGTAAGCAGTTTGAACCAGCCATTGGCGGGATTCTAGAGAACGGAAAATTGTAAATAAAAGCTTAAAATGAAATGAGATTATCTACCTTAATTATTTCTGAGATTCCAAATGATAGGGCGCCCATGAAATCATTGCGCGAAGTACGATCCCAATCCCAGACCTCTATGAGAACTCGTCGATCTTTGTCTTCGGCTTTAAGTTCACTGAAAAGGAATTCAAGTTACTCTTCTATGATAGCTTTACTCTTTTGTCAAAACATTCTTATTAAAATAATTTTTTTTTGAAAAATTTCCCTTTACGACGTCGAGAAAAATCGCAAAAAATAGCAGATTCTTACAGGTTCTGCAACATGGCAATTATTTACATTTTCTATGTTTTCATTGAGTTCTCAAAACTGTAATGGACGTCAAAAATATTGTCCTTAAAAATAAAAACCTCTTCTCAATTGAATATATTTCCACTTGGGTATGTTTCCCATATTTGTTTATTCTTCTTCTTTTTATCTACTTACTATGTAATGGTTTCATTCCACACCGGGTTTAGGCATGCCTTAATCGTACGCGTTTTCTTCTTGCACTTCTCATGTTCATCGGGAATAAGTTTGACCTTAACATAAGGATCACTTAGACCATTTGGATCCATGGGAATGAGATTTCGACCTTCTTTAACTGGAAATTACAAAAAAAACATCTTTAAGTCATTTCTTTACAAAAATATTTCTATATTTTCAAGTTTTAAATCCATTTTAAACTGCCATTGAAAAAACAGAGAGCGAGAGCTCCCCGGTGGAACATTTCAAATATGTTTCCTGCTCACCATGTTCGTTTATTTATTAATAGTCTTAGTATTGCCGCAAGCAGTGTTGGGTGGCATATCGACAATGAAGTTGGCTTTATGGTGCCCAACCCCCCTGACAAATGGGGAATTTCCATGTGATTGGGAGGAACGGAGAGAGGGAGCTGGCGGTATGTATTTAATATGCCATCTATTTTGTATTTTTTCCTGTCCATAGTTATGGAGAATATTATCGTGTGTTAGATTTGTTGTGATTTTCATTTCAAGCGGAAATATTTTTTATTTTTGTACTTCAAAAGTTTTTTGCTTTTTTTGGTTCATCAAAGGCAAGTTCTTTAATGAGGAGAAAATGACGACCGGGAGGGGGTCTTATTATAGATTTCTTACGAGGAGGAAAGTAAGGAAAATTATGATATCTTATTATAGATCTTAAGGCTGAAAATTATTGTTGTTGTTGTAGCAGTAGTACATGTAAGTGTTTGCGTTCAGCACACCAGTTCCTAAACGTATGAGTGATTTCATAAATTTCTTATATTTAATATCACTCATACGCAGACTTTTCATACAAACGACTGGGGCCCAAGGAACTAGATGAGCTCGACAGAACCAGATTGGCTCAACTCCACTTGGAATTTTACAAATTAGTATAAACATCCGCAATAGTTGATACAATAAAACATTAGCAATTTCTCAGCAAAGCTCCTGAACTTGTTCCCATTGACCCATTATCGTCACCATCATGTCATCCATAATTACCGCATTTTTCGAATTTCAAACCCATTTTCCATTTTGTTTTGGCATTCTTTTTTTTTCAACTACTTACTCATCACGGTTAAGGTGTTGTCTTTGACACCCAATTCCAGAAAAATGCGTCCACGTCGCTCAGTGTGATCACATCCGCATAAGCTGGGCACGTTCTCCTTGCAACGTGCATGCACGTTCATGTCACATGCTGTTCAAGGTAAACAAAAACATTTGTTTAACCCAAACAACAACCGCAATGGAAGATAACAAAAAAAAAAAAAAATAAAGAACAACAACAAATTATTCTATTTATCCTCAACAAAAACAACACAACAGGGTATTGTGTTGTTGTTTTTTGTTATTATGTTTATTATTTTTTTTTCAATGGGAATGGGGTATTTTGTTGCAACTGGTTGTTAAAGGTGGTGGTGGTGGGTGGATTTAGTTTGGTGGGGGATGATTAGTAAAGAGACAGTGAAAGTATATTTAGTTAGCTAGATTTGGTTTAAAATAAAAGGACATTAGACCAACACTCATAGACACACACACACACGCAGCACATACATACACACCCCCACACAATGGTATTATGGCATGATTTGGTTATGAGGACATAACACACACACTCACACTCAATTGTTAAGAGAAAAATGAACCCATTTAAAGCAATTGAAACCGGAAACAAATATTTAAGAAAACAAGAATAAAAAAACACATACTTACCTGTTGTCGCCAGGAAGTCAAAGGACCTTCTTGAGCTCAAAAAATAAATTTAGTTTCATTCCATGATTTCCGAAAGGGGAAATTTGAAATTGATTGAAAACATGTTGGCCATTCTCCAGCAACACACAAGGTCAGTCATTAAGGACATGTGAAGTGTATTAAATAAACATTGACTTAGTCCTTCTTTCAATGACAATGGTCAATGGTTGGTAGTTTTTCTAGGCAATCTTTTGGCAATATTTAACAAAACAAGTTATCTTAAGTACGGTCAACTGGCTGAGGGAGAGCCTTGTGTGTGTGTCCTGCTTTGTTCACATATCCAAAGTTTATTAGGTCTTTTAGTGCCGGACACACAGACACACATATCCACACACGCTCACACATTATGTTCGAATTGAATGTGGCAAAATCAATTTTCACACGAATAAACCTACAAAAATTATTGACCGTAAAAGTGTAAACATGTTCCACTTTTTAATAAACATCTACGACTAGGTGTAATTTTCCAAGTTCCCCCATCTCTCCTCTCTCTTTCCCTCTCTCTTCGTCGTGTGTGTATGAGTGAGTGTCATAATGTAGCTATTTTTATAGATTCAAAGACCTAACACACAACTGTAAAAAGTTGTTTTTTTTTTTTAAAGGGACATCACATGGCTTCATCTGTTAGGATTTCACACTTAGCTTCAAATGAAAGGATATATTTTTATACCCACACACATACACACACAGATCTTTTATGTTGCCATGTATATATGCTTAGAATATAAAAAGTTTATTCCTGACAAAGTCAAAGTTTATTCTCTAATCGTTTAATAGATTTTTCGAAAGTGAAAAAAGAGGTTATTTGCTTAAAGGCCGAGGTGTTAAATATTTGAGAGACTATTGACATTCTTGGGAGACGAAAAGAAAAGGGATAAATTGGGGTTAAATGATTGAGTATTTTATGAGAAAATTTTGGTGTTTTTCCACAAGGAGTCTAAGAAGTTTTCTGTGAATAATCTCTTCCGAAATTTGGTGAAATATAAATACAATTTAGAATGGCCCTTTTTCTCTGCAAGGCTTAATGGAATGAAATTTCAAAGTAAATGCAAATTCCGACTAATTTTGGTCTTAAATTTTAAACAATTTACAGATTTTTTATATCCTACAGCACGATGTGCTGGGGTATTATTATTTGGCCAAAAATTATGTAACACCTCGAAATATTGGTCCCCGACATAGGAAACAATATATGGATCTTCCTGTCTCGCCGAGCTGAGTCGACCTTGGACATTCCCACAAGACTCAGCACCATCGCACTCAGCACGCGCCACCCAAGAATGGTTACAAAATGAGTTTCCTCGCTTCATTTCCAGCGCACAATGGCCACCAAAATCTCCGGATACCAATCCGTTGGACTACTGTGTCTAGAGTATTTTGGAAAGCAAGGTTGGCACTAAAAACTACCAAAGTGTCGGTCACCTCAAGCAAGCGTTTCGCCGGGAATGGGTCAAAATACCGCAGAGCAACATTCGGGCAGCGTGTGACGGTTTCATTGGCCGCCAATTCGAACAAATCTAAACTTGTTATAAAATTTGATGCTATTTTCGACATTTTTTGCTTTCATTCAATAAAATTAAAAAAAAAGGAAAAAATTATGGCGTTTGACTTTGTCGCAGCTTTTTTATCCCAACCTGTATGTAAGGCATAATCTATATATTTTTATAAAAAAAATCTAATCAGATTTTTTTTAATTTATTTTTTTTTTGAGAATTTCTGTTTCTATCCCCCACATTTTTAAATGTTTTTGAAAGTCCTCTTTGATATTGGTAAATTATCACCTGTCTGTAAGCATTCCGCATTTCATAAATAAAAATAGTAATCCCTTTTTTTGAGTTCACCACAATTTTTGTCATTAAATAAAAATTCAATTTTCCTTGTGGCCTTTTTGGAAATAAACGTTTTGCAGTGGGAAATGCTGGCATGTGTCTGTGTCTGTGTGTAAAACATTAATTGCGTGGTGTTTGGTGTACCGCTAACTGTAATGAAGTACATGCAATTGCAGTTATGACAATTTGCATGGGAGCGAGCGAATGTGTGCGTGTGTGTATGCGAGTAAGCATTTTTAATTATAACTGCGTTTTATCCATAAAATTAAAACAACAGCAACAACAACACCACGTGTGACACACTCACACATGATTAAGCAATAATATTATGAAGGATATGTATAGTGGAGTTCAGGCCAAAGCCATGTGGGAGAGAGGGAGAAAGGACACACACACAACGTATAGCGAGTCAGCTTTTAAAGACAGGTGGTTGGTGGTGTTGAGATTGAAAATTGCCACTGCCTGACGTTGTAGTTCGCACACAAATCCCGGCCATAAAATTGCTCTGCCCTTGCATGCAAATTGTGCCTTTCAGCCTCGATGATGCAGTTGACTTGAGCTCAAGCATCCGGATGAATATTTTCCGAATGCCATAATTAAAATTGATTAAAATTCAATTCCAATAAATTTTTAATTTATTACGTTGACATTATTGTGCCGGATCATATAATCTGAGCAAGGAGTTCACATCCTTGAGAAGACGGAAGGCAGGCCAAGAGAGAGAGAGAGAGAGAGCGAGTGTGTGGGTGGTTGGGTGTAGTGTAATAAATGTAGTGTATGTAGTGTAATAAATGAGAATTGTCGTTGCTAGTAAGGCCCAAGGTGACATTAAGAGGTGTGATAATTTATTTTAAGAAGATTAACTCTATTAAGAGTGAAATATTTGGAGGAAGACTCCTTGTGGGGAAATAACATTTTATTTAAGATATCATGGGAGAGACAAAAGACTGTAGTTGAGATTTGGAAAATTGGGTATTGTTTTTGAGTAAAAGCCGCAAAATTAATAAAATGAGAAATAAAACAGGAATTTAAATTTTCAAACCTCCCATTAGCATTACAGATGACTTAAATGTAGAGAACTTGCTGAAGTGCTCTAACGATAGCCACTTGTGGTTTCAAAGCGCTTGAATTCCATCACGAATAACTTTTTTTTCTGGAAAATACTCACCAAAATGCTTTTGTACGCTTGTAAGCAATATAATGAGCTGTCACTGGAAAAATTTAAAAGCTGTCGGACGAGTGGCGTAGAAATGACAGCAGTCTGAAGTTGGCTGCAGTTTTTTCATCTCATCCTGCATATTGTACCTATTTTGCTATATGTTCGATATCTTGGCTATCAGCATCACTGTAATGGTCAGAAGTGACCTTTTAATGTCTTTGTTATTTGGCCGGAATGAAAAATATTCGCGGTTTAGTGGAAATTTTTGTATTTTATGATATAAAAATTATGGTTTATCTTACCCGCTAAATATTGTCCAATGACCGTACAAATTCGTATGCTTCTGCCCAGCCATAAAACCTAAATCCAAGCAAAATTCCTCGTTGATTGATTCACAATTGTGGCCTGCAGAGCAACTGCAAAACCAGGAAATTCTCCTGTTTTTGGTACACTTCAACCCCCAAATATTTTGCGATCATCTCCAGAAACCATAGGGTTCTATGCTGGCCCTTACGCCACCTACATTTTCAATTTCGTGACCATCGGGTCATAATTGGGACTCGTAGCGTGATAACAAATTAACATGGACAGACGGACGGACAGACACACAATCCATAGTTTCCATAATTTTTGGACCAGTTAAACTTATAAAACCTCCAACACATAGTGTTTTAGGGTATAAAAATCCATTTTGAATTGCGTTTTTCTTTTGCAATCTCTTTCGCATTGTCATAGAGAAAGAGACCATTCGAATTCTCTTACGCTCCCAAAAGTATGCAACAGATTTGAACTCCCTTGATCTTTGCAATAACATACAACAAACACGTTAAAGCAATTCTTTTATTTTAGATTGATACTAATGTCCTTTTAGTCTTTCTTTGTTTTTTTTTTTATGTAGCATGGTTCGCATGATAAAGCGAAAACGAAAAAAAAAAACAAAATGCAACAGGCAACAGGGTGTTGAACGAATCGTTAAATATTTCACCTTGCTACCGTGCAAATGTACTTCAATTTCCGCTATTTAAATGGAAATTGGAAAGAACGTCGTAACGAATCTTAATGGCAACAACTGTAGCCACAATTGCTACAACACCAATAACAACAGCCACAAGAGCAGCAGTGGCAACAACAAATAAGCAGTGGTAAATAAAATGTCAATTTGTTGAAATTAATGTGTTTTTGGATAGTGAGTGGCAACAGAGTGGGAGAGCGAGAAACGGGGGGAGAGAGAGAGAGATAAATAGAGACTGGGAGATAGTTGTGCTAAGTGTGCTGTGCACAAGTGGCTGGCAGAGCAGCAACAAATTGCTTTTTTGGTATTACCACTGCTATCTGTTTGGAACATATGGTTGGCAGTGTAGCGTAGTAGTAGTAGTGTTGTGTTGCACATGTAAAGTTATTACTGCTGCTGTTGTTGTCAGTGTATTTTGACTTTAACACACCACACATTTATTTGCTTTTCAATTGCAAATTCACAATAAAGGTTGTGTGCGTTTTTGTGTGGTTGTTGCATTGTTACCACCTCCAACCATGGCCCTTATCGCAGTAGAGTTTTTTTCCTGATGTGTGAAGACAACAAATTGATTTTCTCTTTCAAACATTTCATTCATTAAATTTATATAAATGTGGAGACTGTGAAATGTGTCTCGTTGATTGTGTGCGCGTGTATAAATGCGTTTTTTATTTATACAATTTATTTCTATAAATATAAAAGAGAAGCGAAGCAGCGATAAAAACTTTACGCCATTCATGGGCATTGAGCGTGTAGTTCTGGTTTTTATTGTTGTTGCTGCTGTGGCTGCTTTTTGTTGCAATCCATCAATCTTTAACAATGTTGAGATTGTTTGCGTGTCCCTGTATATCTGTTTTAGTTGGAATCGTTGGTTTAGCGTGTCAACAACAACAGCAGCAACTTGTAGGAATGCTGACAAATACTTTTATCAATAGTTTTTTTTCATTCATTAATTTTCTTAGAAGGCAACAGAGAGTTTTTTTATTTTATTTTTTCTTTCTCTTCTCCAAGTCATTGGTGTGTCTTGCAGTTGTTGATTTTTCAAATGAATTGCATTTTCAAGTGACTTCTTTGGAAAATAAACAAAAGATAGAACAAAAGAAATGCATTACTCTTCAGCCACATGGTGTCTTTTTTTCTGAAAGGAGGAAAAATTGTTCTCAATTCGAGACTTGTTGAGAAAAAATAATCTTTGGAGGGCCAAGACCAACTAGATTTTCTGCGATAAAAATAAACACAAAGAGAAAATAGTTTTGTAACAGAGCGGATCTATTTATACTCTACACCACTTTGTTAAGAGAAAATTAATAAAAGCTGTATAAGAAAAAAATGTAGCGCCTCAAAATATCGGTCCTAGATCAAAAATATGGTCTACCGATCATTATGTCTCGAAAACATTCGATAAAATAATGTAGCACCTCAAAATATCGATCCTAGACCAAAAAAATTGTATACCGATCATTACGTCTGGAAGATGATTCGATATATCTATATACAGTTATCTGGCAATTTTGGACCGATCGCCACAAAATTTAACATGGATGAATAGAATAGACGGCTAGGTTTTTGAAATAAATTTCTATACAAAAATAACATTTTTCTCTACTTTGCGCTTGCTTTTTAATTGTGGACTGTTCGAGTTTGGGAAAAAGCAAAAGTCTACTATTTTGGATGTTAATCGGATAATTTACCTGTTGAAATGGGATTGAACTTTTGTGTGACAAATACCAAAAATGTGCTTTCTATTGAGAATTTTTTAGTGTTGCGGACCACTTTTCGACCAAATTACCATTACACGAAAAGGCACTTCAGATCATTACATTGATGCTGATTTCGTTGACATACATAGACAGACACCGAAATACAGCAGAATATAAACCAGAATATAAATTTTTAAAATATTTTTTTTTTTGAATTTCCATTAGAAAGACAAAGGACGTAATTATAGGGTATTTGAAACGAAAATTTGCAGGGATTCAAAGAATATGACCAGGGTTGATAGAAGGTTGGACAAAGAAGACTACTTTCGACAAAAAAAAAATTGAAAAAAAAAAACTTAGTAGTTTTGACACTATTAGGGTTTGAGTAGGGCCTACATAAAGTCGGACAGAAATCCCATCTGGCAATCAAGTTTGCCGTCAACACACATATTGTGATTTGAAATTCAAGTATGGTCAAATCACAATACTGAAAAAACTACTCATTTTATCGTCAAATGGTTGTCAAAAGTAGTCTTCAGGCCGACCTTATGTAGGCTTTGGTTTAAGTATCATTAAATTTTCAAAATATTTCAAAAAATATATATTTTTTAATTTTATTGAAATTTCGACTTATTTCCTTAAATCTGTTTTTGGAAGTAAAATTTTCCTACAGCCATTTTTACAAAAATATATCAAGTGTCTTTGAATAAAACTCAAAGGTGCCACGGTACGTATAATTATTCCCATAATGTATACGCTCCAATGGACCTAAACCAAAATGTGAAAATTCGATAGCTCTGACATTCTTTGACCTTAGTCATGAAGTTTTCTGAATTGAACTGTAAAAAGTTCTGCAACAATAACATTTTCTGTCATGTTACAGATGATGTCGATGCAAATATGAACCTGGATACGACATCGCATTGTGGGCAACCATTCGAAATATTGGCTGAAATATGTGTTTTACAAAGCCTTTGGAAAATGTGGCAGAAAACTTCAAAATTCTTGAAACAAGGAAATATCCACAACCCAAATTTTCGACTCACTTTGGTGAGTAATATCAAATATTTCGAAGACAAGATTTATTTAAACCCAGAAAACTCAAATTTGAAAGTAGGTCGTATAGAAAAAGCAATCAAATGCTTCAACATTTTCCAAATCAGAGTTTTTTGGTTATAAAAGTTTGCTAAAGAAATACACTATTTAGTTTTTCATATAAAATCTCCTATAGTTCTCCTTGTTTATCATGTCTTTTTTAAGATTTGTAAGGAGAATTCAGAGGAATTACTAAATGTATTAGGAATTTTATAATATTTATATTTTATTCATGTAAATTAGTCAAGTTTTATAAAAATATCAATTTATTAAAAATTTCTATATAAACACGTACGTATATTGTCAAAAGCCATGTCATGTTTGCACAAAGAACATAAATAAAATATAATAAAAATAAAATATATCTTCCATAACTACTTAGTAGCTTACACTCCTAAATATCCCCACTAAATGGTGTCATAAAATTTACATTTCAATGGATATATAAACGATTTATCCGATTTATGGAATATCTATCAAAATATCGTCTATAAAAAAAGATGTGAGATTTCTCTACGGCATATGTGTGTGTCTATGATTTCCTCTTGCCGTTAAATATTATATTTGTTGCAGTCTCATAAAATCAATGGCAATAACAAGAGTAGCAAATCGTTGTCTATGCAAATTATTGGCATATTATGCAAATAAAGCAAAAGAGAGATAGAGTAGGATTGGATGCGGTATTTATTTTATATCTTAATTTCGAATAGTAACAAATGGGGCTACCGCATTAATGGTAATGCCATTGTCATAACCTCCATAATTTTATATTCTCTCTCTCACTCCCGCCCGCTCTCTGACACTTTGGTACTCTCCGGAAAAGTATGACATGTTGTGCTTTTGTGACACACAAATGACATGGTTGTGTAGTAAGTGTGTGTGAGAGAGAGAGGGGCTATGTGTGTGCGTATTAGTTAGTTGTATTCCATCTGAGTGGGTACATTTACATTTTGATGGGATTTATGTATGCATGCCATTCCATTTTGTTGTTGCTGCTGTTTTTGTGGTTGTTTTGTCCTACGGCAAGAACAACAAAAAAGACCCTACAACAGGGACTTGCTGTTGCCATGAATATGTTTTCGAAAGGAAAACCATCCACAGCCGTTGCACAGCGGCAAAAACATCAGCTGTGGCAGCTGTAACACAAACAAATCAAAAACCTTTAACGCTTATGCGCCATTGTGTCTGCAAGAGTTATTGTCTGTAACATTGTCTAAGTTGTCCTTCAGGATTTTTTGCCACAGCCACTGCTGCTGCGGCTGCTTGGTTTTGTTAGCCTCATTTGTATGGAATATATTTGCATATATGAATGTACGTATGTATGTATGTATGTATGTACATTGTACATATCCCTGGGCACTTTCTATTGTTTTGGTGTAAGGTTGTCGCACACATATTTGCTTTATCCTGGCTAAAACTACAGACAACCTTACCAAATCACACATACACATCCTTACATGTGTAACAAAAAAGGGATATGTGTTTTGTTTTGGTTATAAATCTTTTTTCGTTCCTTTTTTGTTTTTGTCGGGCTACTTGTCTGCCATTGTCATTCGGTTGAGTAAACCTGCAACCAGAGATGTTCCTCTCTTTTGCATGGGGATAATCACAACGCAAACACATGTGAAAACCAACAACAATCCCCAAACAAAGAAACAAAAATCTGCTGAAAGGATGATGCTGCTGCTGTTGCTGGAGATTATTACTGTTAAACACAATAATGGGCTTGACATTAAAATTCCATTGTATTTTTCGTAGGATTTCGGAGGCTTATTTAACTATTTACCACACATAAACAAAGGCAGGCCAAGGATTCAATCAAATGTTTACATTTATTCTTACCTTTTTCGCTCTCGCTCTCTCAAGAGTAGGGTTTATCTATTAAGACACAAAGAAATACTTACTTGAACTATTCCGAAATGCTTGAATGGGATTTTTTGTTTTAAATTTCCATGAAATGTCAAGATAGGCGAATAGCTTACTTGTGGTTAAGTGTTTATTATTCAAATGGGGAATTTGAAGGAGCCGAAATATGCTTAAAGACTTTGGCAAAAAACGTCTTGAGAAAATCTGCTTAAGCTGATTTCGGAAAAAAAGTATTAAATTTTTCTCACTCTCATATGAGAAATGCTATTGTGTATAAGCTTCTATTTTATAATTCGTATAGGCTTGGAGAACTCTAAAAAGAAAAGATTGCAGTGTTGAGTGTGTGATAGTATCTCTCTGGCTTTAATTTTCATTGAAAAATTCAGATCATTAAGCTCATCTCGAAAGAGAAACAAATAAAGAAAAAATTTGTTGTATTTTACGGAGAATATTGGTGCGTATGAGTACTGTCATAATGTATCTGGGAATTTTTAACGACAGAATTGCATCATAAAGTCCCAAAAAGGCCGCAGACCTTGGGGATTCCAACAGGACTCAGCACCATCGCACTCAGAACGCGCCAACCAAGAATGGTTACAAAATGAAGTTCCTCGCTTCATTTCCAGCGCGCAAAGACCACCAAAATTTCTGGATATCAATCCGTTCGACTATTGTGTCTGGAGTATTTTGGAAAGCAAGGTTGGCACTAAAAAATACAAAGTGTCGATCACCTCAAGCAAGCGTTTAGCCGGGAATGGGCCAAAATACCGCAGAGGAACATTTGGGCAGCGTGTGACAGTTCCATTGGTCGTTTGATTTTGCTTTCATTCAATAAAATTAAAAAAAAAAAAAATGTAAAAATTATGGCGTTTGACTTTGTTGCATTTTTTTATCTCACCGTGTATGTTTTTTTTTAAATTTTTGAATTTTGACCACTATCGTCGGAACGATACAACTGTCATGGAAGTAAATTTGTTCAAAAGGACCTAGGGTTTAATGCTGAGGCCCATTTTGACCATATCAAATGTCACATACGCTTAGCACTGAGGATATTCAAAAGGGTTCTAGTCCGACATATATCTTTAATTCCAATACCTCTTTTTACATTTCTCAATAAATCTTTACTATAGCTTTAGTTATAAGTTTCTATAAAACATAACATTTAAAGTATTTTCATTATGAAAATTCCTATTTGACATTTCTTTATAAAACTCATCATTACACATCTTCTGAGAACGAAATTGAGCCCTTGGTAATCATACCGGTATATGCTATATTATTAGCCATTATTACCCGGAATTTCATTAAAATAAATGAAGAGAGCGAATGGGTTTTATGTGTCTTCTGAAAACTAAAATTTATACGTTTTTGCTCTCTGCCAACAGGTATTTACTGTGTTTTGTATTTACACAACATTAACACATTACAATGTAACACGTACTACACACACACGCCCACTCAAACATACATACACACGTTTAACTAAACACATTAGAGCCAATGTGTTATGCCATCATCTGTCTCATCACGGACTCTCTCCAATACATGTTAATTTGTGTAATTTCCATTTTTTACTAAATTTTGCGTGACTGACCATTGAATTTGAGCTGCTGCTTTGTTGAACATACTCACGTACACACACCGACATGTTTGTTTGGCATAGAAATTCATTGGAGGCTTATGTCGATGGCACTCATCCAACATTGGTAGTTTTCTCTTCCATACTCAACTCAATTGAAAATAAACGTGTAACACAAATTATCAATTAAATATGAATTATAATTAAGAGGATGATGATGTGAGAGTGGGGGCGAGGGTGGGACAGGGATACGGAAGAGCGGGAAATGTTAAATGACAATTATAACGTCTGTTATCCAATGGCCAAGTGATGCAAATAAAGACCATAAAACTGTTGGTCACATTCCTAGTTGGTATGCAATTCGATGAGAACCACTTAAACAATAACAACAACATAATAATAATGTGTACTCTTCTCCCATTTCCCGTTTCCGCTTGATGGATTTAAATCGGAGCAATGCATTTGCATGTCTTGCTACGGCCAAACCAACAACCGCATAACACAACAATAAACACCTCTCTATGAATAGCAACAAGAATAACAACAATGTGAACAATGCTAATACCAACCAACACCAAAAAAAAAAAAGAACAAAAACAAGAATTATCAAAAGAAAGAAATGTCTAAAATAGTGTGAGTGGGCTAAGGAGAGGGAGAGAGTAAGTGGGAGTGAACTGAGGCTAATAACATTAACTCTTGTTTTTATAGTGTGGTAGTCCCATGCCTCCCACTCACTCTCGTACTCAGAGTACTCTGATGTGTGGGAGAAGAGATTTAACTTCTTCCTACTGCTTGCTCACTTCAATATGATTGATGATTTCGAATGCAAAACAACTTTAACCGCACACACACTACAATAGAATGGGTATCGGTATGTATGTGGGAGTAAGAATGGTATGGATGTTGATGTGGTGAGTGATTGAATTGAAATGGAATGGCACGAACCAAAGAATATTGGAATGGAATGATGACAATGATGATGGTATTGTATTGTTGCTATTTTTTTTTTTGCTATGGGTATGCAACAAATATTTTGACATGGACAAGAGACATGGACTGTGTGGTGGTGGTGATGTTGGTACATGTAGTAACTGAAATGGAATTGAATTTACCTCGACATTTGAGACCCTTATGGGTTATACCGTGCAACAAAGAACCGCAGTGATCACAAAACATCGGCGACAGGAACGTTATGTTTTCCCATTTGTGTGGCATCTGATGGGCCTGAGGATAGGTGAGAAAACTAATGGAAAATTAACAGACTTTTTCTTGGCATTGTTAGCAACACTATTTTTCGGGTAACTACACAACATCGACATGTCCTCTGCATAACTAAATTTTGGTTACAATTGAATGGCATTTTTGGTTTTTCGTTTTGGTTTTTTGGAAATGTCACTGTGCATTGATGTGTAGGCCGGGCCTTTTGCCATTTCTCATCAATGTAATTGAATGAGGATATGGGTGATGGACATTTGCTTGTTTTTTTGGATGGATGGACAAGTAACATAACTTCAAAGAGCCATAACAATTTAAGGTGTCCGGGTTTTTTGTGTGGACATTTAAAGGACAAATTATACAAGATATGATTTCTTCTTTTATATATTTTAAATGTAAAAAATAACCGTTTTTGTCTGATTTTTCATGGAATAACTTTTAAATTGCTTTATTTTTTTTAATTTATGTTAACAATTAATTCAAATCAAGTCACCATGGGTCATATTTCTTTTTCGTTTTTCTTTCAAGGATAAGTCACCAACAACCCCTAATACAAATGACAAACAGAACCAGCAATGAAATAACCCTAATTTTGTTTCCACTTTCCAGCCATGTTTATGGAAAGACCAACGACTGAAGCCAATTTTTTTTAAAGAAATGTTTGTTCCTTGTTTAACAACAAAGCAGGACAACAAAATTAAATTTCTTTTACAAGAAGATTCAAGAAAAAACATTTTGTTATACCTAACCTTGGCCTTCCAGCCACAGACATAAATGACCAAGCGGTAGAGAAAGAAAAAAATAGCCCCACAATATACACTGACATAAGTTTTCTTTCATTTCAAGTAGGCCGTTGTAATATTTTTGATACTTGTCCTTCTTTATCCTGTAAGCATGCTTGTCTCGCCAAACAAGATGTTGGTCGTTTTCTTCTTCTCGTTTTTTTTTTTTGTTATAAGATAACCATGATAAGCATCTTCAAAATGTTAGGTGGCCTTGGGGTGTGGGGACGATAGGTAGGTTGCTTAACAAGTTCTCTCGGTATCAGTGGAATGGGATGGTTTCACAATTTGCCATAAAAATTTGTTTTGTTTTCTTTTTTTTTGGGTGAGCTCTAATCAGCTTTTTTGTTGTTGGGCGTTTGTTTAATTATTGTTGTAACCTCTCAAACCATTGCGTTTTTAATTTAATAAATGAATTATTGACAATTTAATTAATACAAAAATTGTATCACGTTTTTTAAATAAATTGCAGTATCTAATGTAATTTAATTTTTAAATTTCTCTGGATTCAGTTTGGAACGAATATAAAACATTCCCTTAAATATAAAGCATTCCTTTAAAGTGTGGAATATCTTCTAATTCATTAACAAGATCGTATTATTAACGCCATAATGTATACGATACATAGTTCAATGAGTCTATATCTGGCAAATGAAAATTATATCTTCAAGAACAACCCTAGTTTAGTAGAAACACTTCGATTTTTTTTCCAGATTACCCTGATTTCGGGAAACTATTTTTTCCTTGTGAGACGGACCCGGGACACCAGAATTTTGACCCGAAAGTTCGAATTTAAGACCCAACATAGACGATTTGAAATCTTATGAAAATACATATCCAACAAGTGGTCACATAAAGGAGTTATTTATAAGCGGTTCGGAAGTTGTAGTCAAATTATCGATTTTTTGTACCTGGATTTTTTATAAAAACCCCTAAAAGTCGAAGATAGGCCCAACAATTGATGCCAAATTATAGCTGATACTATTACCTTTCCAAAATGCTAATTCCATTCAAACGATACCTTATTGTCTATATCGGGTAAGTGGATACGGGTCTAGCCCGGGTCTTGAAACCGAGTTCTGGGGTCCCGGGTTCGACCCACAAGAAAAAAATTGTTTGCCGAAATCAGGATAAAAATACCTGCCTCGGGAAAAAAAAAAAATAAAAAAAGTTGCATATCTTCATCTCTCCTGCCAGATCTAGGCAAACCTATCTGCCTAACTCCTGCAGATCGAACACAAGCTTTATTTGTTAGAGAAGTAGGAAGTTTTCATGAACAAGGTGAAAGAATTTTTAGACAATTTGAAGAACGTTTTTACAGATTAATAGATGGAAGCCAGTATAGGCACCTAAAATGTAGTCTTTGTGTGGGATGAATGGAACATTTTTATAGACAACCTATGAGAAATCTGTAGAAGATCTGAGTCTTCCTACTCTTCTCATTAGGGAGTCTTTATAGACGTCTTGAGAACAGTCTTTTTTAGACGACTTTAAAATCTTCCGTCATAATATAAATATTGAACATGATACAAATGTGATCGAGTACTTTAATTTGGGTCATTTATAAGGGGAGAAGGTTGAAATTTTGAATTAGAGCCGCTGTTTAATCAAATGCGACATCTATACTCTAATATTTTTAAGAAGAAGTATGAAGGCATAACACCTTAAAATATTCATCGTAGGGCCCAAAAATTCTCTATATATATATTTTAAAACAAGGTACACATATTTTTATACTATCTGGAGGACGCCTCCTCCATTGTAATAGAAATACTGAAAAGAATATTTTCAATATTTTCGGTATTTCAAGTCTTTCCGCTAGAATTTTTAGTCAAATGATGCGAAAGTTGGCATACATTCGATTTCTTTAATAATAAAGGTCTAATATTTAATTTTGAGAGTCCTGGCTTAATATATCAGATTTTTAGATTTTCTCTGCTGAGAAGATTGCAAACAGTCAAATTATTTTTATTATAAATAAATATTTTTTTTGTTTTTTTTTTTCTCCCAGAGTCCCAATGCGTATGATTAGCGTTATAACGTATACGCACTGTAGTTCAATGAATATATCCATAGCAAATTTAAAATGGAACTTTTTAGAATCTGTAGGTACCTTCACTGTTTTATTTTGAAGGCTATCTCAAGAAGCCGTAAGAAAGTAATTTAGTTCTTCATATTTGGAAAAAATATCCTTTTTGAATTTGATGCCTTAAACAAGTCATATTTTTTATGCTTTAGTTCTAAAACGTAAATTGTTCCAAAAAAAAAAAAATGTTCCAAGAGCAAAGTAGATTTATAATTTTTAAATCTACATTGTTAGGACTCTGCTATCTCAAATTTTACTTTTTTAATTTTTTATTTTCATTAAAAGTGAACTGTTGGCAGATTGTTCACTAACTGCCACATGTCAAAACGCCAATTTGGCTATGAAAGTTAGTGGCAGTAACAAATACTTTCCAAAGTGACCATCAGGGTTGTGAAAGCACAAATGGCATTTGTTTTCCTGGCTTCTCAGCTCCTACCATTTTTTTGCCTCCCGCCGTCGATACAAAATTTATGCAAAAAACTTGTTTTGAGGCAAAGAAAACACAACGATGAAAACTTTCGACACATTCTATATTTGTACAAAACGTTTTTCGACGTTTTTCCTCTTCATAACAAATTTTTTTTGCTTAGCTAACTTTTTTCGGTGAGATGGAGGGCAGAATAAGTGAATATTAAACTTATATTACATGCCAAATTTGAAAAAATCCTAGACAATCTTCGCAAAATCAGGCAAAAAAAGGAAATGTCTGCAGTTAAAGTTTTGATCATAATGAAGTTAAAGGGAATTGCTTTGCCTCGTTGTAGAATAATTGACATTTAAAGACCTTAACCTCATCCATGCTACATTTCCCCTCCGTTTAATCCAAAAGTAATTTAATGGTCAAATAGCTTCGAAAGCTAAAGTTTCCTATTTTCTGTCAAGGGTTGAAATTAATTGGATAGTAAATTACGAGAATCTGTTGTTAATGGGGGAAACTCCATTTCAGGGAGTTGTTTTTTTTTTGGGAAATACTTAATGAAATCTTCTAAACATTATGTTGTAAGAGGTGGGTTGGGGGCGTATGAGTGTTATTGATTGAAATTAAGTAATGAATTGCTGTAAGGCGTATGATTCCCTCTGGCTGTTGTTAATCATACGTGCCAATGTACGGGGAGGGTGTAATTATTTAATGTTTATTCAATCAGAAATCTGTATTTTGGAAAGAGCAGGGTGTTGGAATATTTAAAATATTCACTTAATTCACCTCATGTTTAAACATCACCTATGTTTGCGTTATTTATTATAAATATTTTAACAAGATGATTATTAAATGGCTCATTGAATCAATTTGCAAACATCTTTCAATGCGATATTAATTACGCATAATTAATTAACGAATTATGGTTAAAGCGAGCATCAGCTATGAAATACATAATTGAGAAAATAATTGAATGCGAGAGTAATTTAAAATCGAATGCATTTAAATTGTATTGGTCATTTTTGTGGTATACCAGTGCGTATGATTGCCGACATAAAGTATACGCCATTGAACTTGAATGCATTTCATGGGAAATTTTGTGAAAAGTACATGCCTCCGACCAACCATGCCAGCGAATCTATAGCATTTGGACCAGAAGGGAGGCAGTTTAGAAACCCATAAAATAATCGTTACATGATACCAAAGTTTAGTTTTTATAGACGACCAGAATATACTTCAATGCATTTAATTTTAGGCAAAATTCGAGAGTTTATTAATCTCTAGATGATCTGATGAAAGACCTCATAGAGGACTAGATGGGAGCAAGTATAGAAAACAAGAATGAAATCAGAATTATCTTATGAGCGTCACCTATATTTCGATATCCATACCATTATCAAAAGTTAGAGGGCGCAGTAATTTTATCACTTTTTTGTATCATCTAGATATACTTGTCAGAGAGCCTACAAATTCTATAGATATTATTGATCACAGTGAAATTTTATATCGATATGTTGAGAGGATATTGAGGAATATTGAGAGGATATGAATAAGGTGAAAACAATTCTAGACAATTAATTTTTTAATTAATTAATCAATTAAAATTGAAGAACGTTTTTTACAGATTACTAGATGAAAGCCAGTATAGACAGCGAGTATATAGTCTTTGCGTGGAATAAATGGAAAATTTGTATAGACAACCTGAGAGAAATCTTTAGAAGAA